TAATGGCAGAGTACGTCTTAAACTGGGTATGTTTACTCATCCATAATCTCTTGTTATGGTTGTTTTTCTGCGATTAATGTGTTAATTAGCTCAAATTTACACGTTTGAACTTACCAGCTACCAAGAGGGACACATGAATGGTCCAGCTTTCTTACTCCTGAAGAATTAGTCCTAATTCTTCAGCGTGCTTCGATCTCTGTAAGTCCTTTTGAGTAATATTTGTCGTACATCCTCTCTTTTTCATGCATGTATTGATCATTTGCTTGCTTCCATGCCTTTGTCCAGGTTGAAGAGATGGCCGGGTTTGTGTATAACCCACTCACAGGGCGATGGTCTCTCTCCGATGATATCAGTGTAAATTTTATTGCATTTGGCAGGAAGACGGCTAATGAGTAACTGTAATTGTGTTTTTACACAAATTTTGATCAAATTCGTTGTGGTGGTTTTCGTATTTAGATGCAAATTAAATTCCAACATGAAATTGATCTGGTTCAACTGATACTTCGCAGTTTTTCCTAACCACAACGAGCATTTCCTTAATCTACTGAAAATTAGACAAGAAGTAAAAATCTCGACTTCGAGCATTTTATTTCAGAACTGGTCATTGAAGTTCAAGTAAAATTTCAAATTGATCATTGAACTGTTTTTGTGACTCGCTAAGGTAAACAATGTGATTCTTAGGGGAAAAAACTCACCTTCATTTAGTGCATGTTTGGCAAGTGATATTATTAGAATTTAAGTAATAAGTTGTAAATGTTACAGAATGTATGTTTCACTGAACTTTAATCTTAACTTTCATCATTTAGTTGCAACAGAGTTAAAATAGGAGATTAATTGAAAGGAATAATTGCTTTAACGATCACATATTCGTATAATATATCGGGAGTATCTACTTGAATTACAAGTTTTTCTTCTTGTTTCTCGTTCATGCTTGTCAAGGCGGTGCTTGTGACTCAACATGGGATCAGGGGGTGAAATTGTACACTTTTGCGTTTAGAGCATTGATCGAGTGAGTAGACAATGTCTACCTAGCAAAGCTTTTTGAAGAAGCTATGATGTTTCTTTTTAAGTGTCGGTCCTTTATTTATTTAAATGTTGAGACAAGGCAAGTTCTACGAAAGTATAGATTTGCTCCTAATAAATCTATTTGACCAACTTCTTGCTCTTAATGGAATGGAGTTTTCGAGCGAACAAGTCTACGTACAAATTAAGGGGTTGTCTGAACCTCATCCTTTTAAAAGAAATGTATTTTGCAATAGTGTTATGAAGGAGAATTCGTAGTTAAAATAAAGAGAAAAGTTTTAAATTTACATGTAATATTATTTTATTGAACAAATTTGTGGTTAAAAATGGATGGATTCAGTGTACAATGATACATTTTGATGGAAAAAATGGGTCTCAAACAAGGGCTAAACAACTACTACGTCACGTCAGGAGGATGGTCAATTATAGTGATTAAATGGGTTCACAAAATTACTTTAGCGATCAATTTGAAATTTTGTTTGAACTTCAGGGACCCTGACTGTAATTTTATGTGTGAATACAAAATTGACATTTACAAACAGATCAGCAAGAACAGAGCATTTTAATTTCACAATACAAAAGGAGTGTGAGCAGAGAAGAATGGAGAGCATTAATCGTTCGGCGGTGGCTCGGAGCCGGTTGGCTGTGCTATCGGCTCACCTCTCGGCTTCAATTAAT